TTCATGGTTCATTTGTGCTAATTAAGGAGAAGAGAAATGATCAAAATAGTTAAATTTCTGTACTCAGAGCTTGCATTTAATTTAGTTTCGTTTAATGTAAAAGAAACCATTGAAGACTCAACAGTAGAATTAGAATTAGATCCATATGTGTTTTTTCTCTATGGGGAATTTTGTTTGTATTCTTTAACTCAGTTATCTCTATTTTAGGTTGGAGAAGACAGAATTACCCTTACTTTTAGCTCTTTGGGAAGAAATATTTAAGTGTTTACACAGGCAGTGCTCATAAGCAGAGCAGTGAACCCCAGGATGCACTAATTTATAGATGCCTCTGGCCCATTTGACAGGCAGTAGTTTTTTTCCAAAGAAAGTTTATACATTAATTTTGCTGAGCATCTCGTAGTTGTTTAACTAATAGGAAAGAAGAGAGCTCAAAAGGTAAAATTAACTTTTGATTTGTTCCCTTTCCTGTTTGGATTAAGAGTGAGTCGCTACTGATGATCTGTTTCCCCATATGAAACTTGTGGAGGATTGTGAGCAGCTTTTGGTAGTCAGGACAGCAATTGATGACCATCACCAAGATCTCATTTATTTGTGAGGAGATGCAAAATGGTAATCTCTTAGTTGTAGCATTCTTCTTCCGTTTTTAGTTGTGATATTTCTGTAAGGAGTAACTGATCTGCATCAAGGTCCCAATTTCCTGGAGGTCTAACATGTAATTGAAAAACTGGAGAAATGCTTATTTTCTTTTGTCAGTTTCAAAATCGCTTCCTCCAAAATTGATCAAAGATTTTTTTCTAAAAGAAGATCATTATAAACTTATGGATTTAAATATATTTTATGTGATTCATTCTAATTACATCATTGTTCTTTTTGATCAATTTGTCCTATTTTGGACTCTTGGACTATCTTCTATTTGGCTTTCAAGCATATGTCTTTTTGTTCATTATCTACTTGTTTAATAACATAGTCCAAATAATTTTTGATAGGCATGTTCCAGTCTCATTGGACTTTTTTGCTCCTACACCTGGAATTAGTCATTTCTTTAAGGAATTTTGGTTCTTTTTTCTTTTTTGTACTGGGGTTTGAACTCAGGGCACTGCACTTGCAAGGCAGGCACGCTGCCACTGAGCTAAATCCCTGGCCCTGTGGTTCATTTTTTAATGAGAATGGTATTTCAAAACAGAATTTGGGCACCAGGAGTGGTAATTACACCTCAGTTAATTATTATTTTATGTTTATTCAGAAGATAAGCAGATGTCTTCATTATTTCATGCTGATATGTCTAATTCAAATTGATGATTAAAAAGGATTTTTCAAAATGTAACTCATCGATTTGTCTTTATCTTTTTCCTTCATGCCAAAAATCTTTATTCTTAATAAAACTAATATAATTCTTCATTTCTTCATGGAATTAATATTAAAGAGCGATGCTTATCTTGATGACGTTTTTAAATTAGAAGAACTAATCTTTGTTGTTAAAAATCACAATGGTGGTTCTTTGAGGAATAATTGATTGAGAGACTAATGTTTTATACTTTGATCTGATGCTAGTTACATAGTTACATACATTTCTAAAACATCGCCCTACACATTAGAATTACTACCTTATCCATTGTGAATGTTATAATTCATTAAAACAAAGGAAAACTCAGAACTAATGAAAAACTGGATTAGAAAAGTATGGAGTAACTAATCAAGGACTGTAAGGTAAGGTAGAAGGAACTAAGGGTAGAATTATAAAATCATAGAAAATGTAGCTGTTTTAAAAGGACCTTGAAATTTTGTCTGATCTGTTTTTCTACCTAGTCCTTTTCCCTTTTACAAAAGCTATGTTTGAAAATATCTGAGTAGGAAAAGAGTTCAGGAAGGTGAAAACTCAAATATTAGTCACTAGCTTCCATAGTGCAGAAATGGCTGGAGGCCTCCATGTGAAGTGATTTATGTGAAATGAAGAGATAGGAAAACAGATTGCAGCAGTTCAAATGGAGAATTTTGTATTGAACAGATTTCAACTTCGGTTGACCTTCCTTCAACTTTTTCTCACTTTGAACATTTTCTTAGAGAAAAGATTTTATCTCTAGAAATGAAATTCAGTCTGTGAACACAAGACAAAAATAATTATCTGTAAACCCCTCAGGCCCATTGTGGCTCTGATTTCCTTTATAGTCAAGCGAACTCTGTCATCTAGATTTATCCTGGTCTCAAATGGTAACGTTGCTGTTATTATAATTTTTAATGAGAGGGAATCTATAAGACACTTTGATTAGTATTTTGTATTAAACAGAATAGAGATATATGTGTCCTGACACAGTTTGATATCTAAGGCAAAACAGTATATGTATGTGTGTTCTAATTTGAGAAGGCAAACCCTAATTACTTTACTTATTGTACATGGAAATTTAGTCTTAAATGCAGAGGTGAGGTTTTTTAAAAAAGTATTGCTTGAAAAACTCTGTCCATGGTTTTTTTTAAAACTGATAATGCAGAATTTATTAAGCTTTGCACATGTAATAGGGCATAGTTTGAATTGCATCCAAGGTTGCTAACAGAAGCTGTAATAAACAAGAATGGCAACATATCATTTTATAACAATCAGCATTGTCCACCCATATTGTTTTAGAATGCCAGTCCTGAAAGTATGTCAGTTTTCAAGCATAATTCTACAAACCATAAAGTAAATGTATTAAATATACTCATTTGTTTTGAATATTGAATTTTCCATACGTGTTACAAAAGAGAACTGTTTTTGATGGGAAAGAAATGCAAAATTACCAGATTTTAAAAATCGCATCAAAATATTAATAACTTTATTTTGTTATTATCATTCACAACCTACCTCCAAGAGAAATATTTTATGAATTAAAATAAATAATACCTGAAGTGTCATTGTGTTTAACCTATTATTCATTTCTAAAAAGAAAGAAATGTTAATATTTTGAAGTAGACATCACTGAGATGCAGAGTGTGACGAGAGCAAATTCCTTTCGATATTTCAACAGAAAATAGCTCAATAGCTTCCTTCTTTGGAGTTGTGGAATCCGGTGGATTTGCAGTGAAAAAGAGAGATGAGAATGCTTGTTTTTAAATCTCTCACTGTTTAAAGGTATGATGTTGAGGCATAGTCAACTGTGTTCACTGTCTTACTGGCTTTTGTTCAATGTGAAAATCAGAAGACATCAATATACAGGATCACCCTTCACTTTAGTGTACTCTTAGTTATAATTATTAATCTGGGGAAACATGGGCAAAAGGTGAAGAATCAAATAGGACCTAAAGCTAAGAGTTGGGGAAAGTTTGTCTTTGTTGCATGTGCTGTTCAGCACCCAGACCCTGAAACTTCACCAGTCCTCATCGAGAGCTCTAGATAAAAATCTTTTGATGACATAGTTCTAAACTTATAATGAAAACAGATGAAAAAATAAAATTGTACTTTTTAAAAATTTTAATAAACTAGACCATGTCTACTCTAAAATGAGAATTAGCTCCCTGACAGCTTTCTCCAAAAATAAAGTGTTAATATGACCTCGAACAAAAGGACATATAGAATAGACTGTCAGTGCTGGAGAGAACTTTATAGTTAATCTAGCAGTCTTGCACCTTGTATAAATAAAGAGACTAAGTCCCAGAAAAAGTGAAGTGACTGGGACAAAGTGACACACTGAAAAACCCAGACTTTTAACTCAACTCCTGGTAAGTACGCTTTCCTGCTGCGTTGGAGTGCTCGGTGCTTCCTCCCTTTTCTGACAGTGAACCTGTGCTCTAGGACATGGGAGGCTCCCGTCTGCAGAACCTTGTCTGTCGTAGGAGTTAGGAAGTACACAGGCTGTGAGAGTTACTCAGCTATGTACACCTATGTGTGTTTGTATACATGTGTGAAATAGAACATCCTTAATATATTCTAAAATGATGGTGATGAACTTTCATTTGCTTCAGGGGCCTTAAAGCCTGTTCAGTGTTTGCCTGTTTGGTCAGCACTTTTAGTCACTCTATGCCCACATTTCTACCAGAGAAGAAACTGGTAGTTGACATGATACGCAGTGAGCTGTCATTTTGACCCACAGTGGGGCTGTGATGTGAATCAGCATCTGAACTTCCGCAGTGATGCAAGTTGCTTTGTCCAGGGAGCTCTTTCACTTACACATTTGAATTCTGGAAATCATCTAGCCAAGGAGAAGGAGAATTCATAAACATTTTAAGAAGTAAATGAAGTCTCCTGAAATTGCTTGATTTGAATCATCATTCTCTTGTATAAATGTCCTCTAGCACAGGCAACTCAGTACCTTGCATGTCCTGTGAGTTTCCTAGTGAGGTTGGAAACAATTTTGGCTCAGAACAAGTGATAAGGACCCATAAAAGTGGACCTCTCCCATCAGTACAGTGGAAAGCAGAACCAATGATAACTAAACTGCATGGCTTTGAACTGTTTAGAATATGAGTGTCCCTTTGAATGTGTTCAGTTAGCAGCCAACACTTACTTTGTGTGTGCATTTCCATCGCCTTCCAATACTTGCATAATTTCTGAGGGCTCCCTGGTCCTTACACTAGGCATCACTGGTGTAGACCTCAAAGGGAGTTTGAGAATTCGAAAAAGACTGTTAATGTGGCACAAGGACTTTTCAAAATATTTTATTTTTTTAGAATGTGTACTAATTGTCTTCCTTTAAAATGTATACGTATTTCTATAAAGTGACTAGACCCAGGCCCAGAAGTTTGCACAGGACAAATTTTTATTCGTAGTACTGAATGTCCGTCCCTCAGTGCTGCGTTAGAAGTCGTGGGCTCTCTGGCAGTGGCTTGAATGGGCAGGTGTAGGCCAGCCCTTGGAAGCATGACTTTGCCTAGTGACATGAGCTGGGTTGGAATGTGTCCTCTATTCCCAGCCTAAAGTCAACAAGACCGAAGCATCACTGCATTCTTAAACCTTGCCTCCTCGTGGTTTGTTTGTTCTTCCTTGCTGTCTTCTCTTTCTTCTTCTCCTTTTTTTCTTTCTTCTACAGATATTTATTGCGCACCATGTAGCCTTGAGAAGCAGAAGAGTGGTAGGTAAATTCTATGCCTGAAGAAATCACAGCAATCTCTAGTGGCAAACTGTGGTAAGTGCTAAAATAAAAACGCAGGTGCTGTGAGGCGGTGATAGAGATCCGGCCCAGCTTGCAGGACCAGGGAATACTTCTGTGGGGAAATGTCAGTTGGGCTGATTTGAGATTAACTAGATTTTATAAAGGAAAAGAAGTGTGTTCCCGGTAGAAGAAATTGAAGAATTAAAAGGAAGAGTAATGTGCGGGGAAACGGGCAAATCATGCCTAGATTTATAGGGCAAGGCTGAGATACTGGTCTCAACCCTGAGAGGGCTGCACTGTGCTCAGTGAACCGTCATGGCTATGTGTATCTTGGTGATTTTCGTGAGACAACATTAACCACACCGGTCTTTACCGACTTGCCAGCCTGGAGTGTTACCTCTGATCATTGTCGCCAACACAATCCCCAAAAAGGACAGAAAGTCCTCTGCAGCACTCAGGACGCTCCCTTTAAATATCAGTGAAAGAGCCAAGCACAGAGCCATTTGGTTATGGCAGCATGCTCTGCTGTGGACCCCACCGGGCTTGTGGTTCTTCAGTCTTCTCTGGCTGTCAGGTGTACATGGAGCTGGGGAGGGAGCACCTAGTGCCCAGCCCCTGGGATGCTAGAGGTCAACATGACTGTGAACACGGGGTGAGGCTGAGGTGTCAAAGTGCAGTCCTTCACAGTCTTGTGACTCCAGGTGGTAACAGGTGGCTTCAAGAATCTCGTGAGATCGGCTATATGCAACAAGAACGAGAGAAGAAAATTAGGAAATTTAGAGCAATGCCCGGTTCTTTCCACTTGCTCCTATTTATGAGAACAATTGTAACTGTTAAATGCATTTGATAGGCTCAAAACTTTTAGATCTTTTCCTCATCAGTGACCCTTGATACTGGGGGATGGATAAAGGTATTCTGTGGGCATGTTGACACAAGGCATCCTTGGGGCCCTGAGCACTAGAGGAAGAGGAAGCCAGACGGTCAGTGCTATTTTTGCTTTTTTGCCAGGGCATTGCAAACTGTGAAAGCAAAGTTCCTCATTTTCTCCTGAATGTCACGATCCTATTACCTCTTCACGTTCCCCACCTCACCTCCCCCATATTCTTGAGCTTTATTATAAGATGAAATGGTTACTAAAAGAAAATGTGGAGCAACACATGGCACATCTTACACTCTACTAGTCATTGTACTTTATGTAAGTAGAAGGCATGCCCTGTCTTTGCAAGTAGTTTGCAGATCTGCAGGTTCCATATGGGGCAAAGAAGAATGCCAACCTGGAGAAAAGAACATTAGCTAACAACTGGAGGCCAAGAAAAGTGCCATGGTATGATGGGTTCTATAAACAAGACGTCCTTAAGCGTTTGCTATGTCCTAGTCACTGTGCTAGGCATTTAAGGGCATAGGAAAGTTTCAGGCAGCCAGGGAATTTACATTTTGAGACCAGCTGTGAATTTAATCAGTATAAAAAATGTCAAGTAATTGAAGACAAGAACAGATGAGGCATCAGAAGGTGATATGTGATTTATTATTGCCAAATGAATAGTGCTGCCAGTGAAGTGATTTTCTTCACTAGCTCGCAGACTCCCTAATGATGAGGACCATGGCTGGTATCTTTGCAATGACTGGCACAATGGTAGTCATTGAGTAAATATTGGAAGGAGAAAAGGAGAAAAAGGAAGAAAAGGGAGGGAGGAGGCATGCATGATTTAAGTCTAGGGCCACTGAAGTTTTAAACACAGTGATTTTTACTTGTTTAGCTTTCCTAAAAGGGTGTCCTTTATGCACAGTAAAGTATATGTTTGATTTTTTGCTTATAGCAATTTCCAAAACACCTGTGGAGAAAGATCTAGAACATTTCTAGCACACTAGAAGTTTTTTTTCAAACCCTGTCAGCTATGCCCCCAACAGTAACTGCCATTCTGACTACTGTCACTACATATTAATTTAGCTGGTCTTTGCACTTCATATAAATGAAATTATACAGCTGAGCCTGTTGATAGAAACTTGTAATGCCAGCAGTCTGGAAGGCAGGATGATCCCAAGTTCAAGTCCAGCCTGGACAGCTTAGCAAGACCCTATCTCAAAATAAAAAATAAAAAAGGGATGAGGATGTAGCTCAGGGTGAAGACCCTCAGTTCAGTTGCCAGTATGGGATGTGGGGGAGAGTTATACAGTGTCTTTTGTGTTAAGAGTCACACATGTTTTTGCTGTTGCCTACAGTAGTACACTTTTTCATTTTTCTGTATTATTCCACTGTGCGAATATTCTACAATATTCGTGATATTCTATTCATTTTTTCCAAAAATAAGGATGTTTCTTCTCCATCATAACTGGGGTGAGTGAGGTGGACCTTTACCAGCCTTATACAGGGGCTCAGCAGTGGCAAGGGCTATCTCTATTTTTCCTCCCTAATGATATGCATCTCAGTTCCTTTCATCATCGTTGTTCTGAGTTCTTCCCTCAGGATTATGTCTTCACCTGACTCCAACCTGCAGCTTCCTGTCTTGCATCACTTGGTGTGCAGAACTTTATGTAGCTCTTGTTCTCTTATGTGTCAGTATCAGCAGAATATAGTGCAGCTTTTTGCTCCTTCAACTTCTCTTTAATTCAGCTGCCAGTGCATCCTAGAGGAATAGGCGGACGGAAGGGACGGCACAGGACAAGGCACAGCTGGAGGAGGCGTGGGAGGACTCATGCCCTCTTGGGACGTGCCGCCTACCCCGGCACCTCCTTGCGCTCACCAGCCTGGAAGTGCCTACAATATTTCTTCCTAGTGAGCATTTGGAGTAGTTCAACTTTGGGAGTTGTGTGAGTACTGTGAACTGGAACTTCATGAACTTGCACTCATTTCTCTTGGGTATTGTCATGGTCTGGGTCTAGATGTCCCCCTGAAGCCTTGTGAGATCAAAGGTCGCTTTTTCAAAGGTGGCTGAATCTAGAGCGTGTGATGCTGGGATTAAGGGCCTGTGACTGTTAACCAGTACACTGACTGATTTGGTACCGCCAAATCCTGGTAATCTGGATAAGATAAAAGAGGCAGAAAGACGCCGTTAAGGTCCCCTTGTTGCTTTGCTACCTTCTCGCTGCCAAGTCATCCTGCCGTGGAGCCAGCCGATGATGGACCAAAACTTCTGTGAACTGTAAGCCAAATAAACCTTTCCCCCCTTGTCTTTGGGCGTTGGGTATTTTGTAACTTAGAAAAGTAACTTAGGTGTATATCCAGGTCTAGAAGTGCTGACTCATTCTGTATTATTACCTTTAGAAGATATTGCCAAACATTTTTCTAAACATGCCAGTTTATGTTCCCACCAACAATGTAAGAGTTTAAATATATATTCTGAGCTGTTTAATAGGTATCAGCACAGTTCCTTCAAACTGTCTAAAGATTCTTTTCATTATAACCCAAGGGAAAGACAGATTAAAGTTTTCCCGTATCAATTTCTACTTCTAAACACTGAACCTTTTCTCACCTTGTCAAGTCCTCGTTATATTACAGAATAAGTTCCGTAAAGCCAAAACTCTGACCTCTCACTGCCATATTCTCAGGACCAGGTACAGTGTAAGCATCCAGCCAGGATTTAAGTGGATCCCAAGGTGGGCCTATAGTTAGAAAGATAGATACAGGGGAGCAAAGCATAGTGTCAGCCAGCTGTGGAATTCTGACTGTTCTTAGAGACCGTAACTCCTAACTGTGTCACTTGCCAGTTTCAAAAGGTCATTCATCTCACAGACGCAACTGAGAGTCTGCTTTGTGCTGAGAAATCTTGTTGTACTGTTGCTGCTAAATAAAATCAAGGACTTCAGGTAGGGCTAGTGATACCACAGTGGCAGGGCCCAAGATAGGTTGGTGGCAGCCACTTCCTTCAGCTGCTTGAGTAGGACAGTGTGGACTGCGTTGTGGTGAAAGGGAGACCATGATAGGGGCCTGCGTCGGGTCTGGTGGTGGGCTCAGGTCAGGTCCTCGCCCTATAGGACAGTGGGTTCCTTCCATGAAGTTCTTCGGTTTGGCTCCATTAGTAAAGGCAGCTTGTGCTCCTCAGACAAAGGCCTTATTATCTAGAATATATAAAGAACTCAAAACAATCACCCCCCCAAATATAAAGACCCAATTCAAAAATGGGCATCTGAAATGAACAGACATTTCTCAGACAAAGAAGTAAAAGCAGCAAGTAAATATATGAAAAAATTTCCACATCACTGGTCATTTGAGAGATGCAGATGAAAACAACACTCAGATTCTACCTCACCCCACACAGAATGGCTGCTATCAAGCAATCAACCAATAACAAATGTTGGCAGGGTTGTGGGGAGAAAGGAACCCTTCTCCATTGTTGGTGGGAGTGCAGACTGGTGGAACCACTGTGGAAATCAATATGGAGATACCTCAAAGAGCTGGGACTAGAGGTTCCATTTGACCCAGCCATCCCTCTGCTGGGTATTTTTCCAAAAGAATTAAAAGAATCATATCACAGTGACATATGTGCACCTGTGTTTATAGCAGCACAGTTTGTAATGGCTAAAACATGGAAACAGCCCATTTGCCCATCAGTTGGAAACTGGATAAAGATGTGGTTTTTCTATAAAATGGAATGCTACTCAGCCATAAAGAATGAGAAATTAGAGTCATTCATAGGAAAATGGATACATTTTGAGGCTATACTCCTAAGTGAAATAAATAAGTCACACAGGTGTAAATACTGAATAGTTTCTCTGGTGTGAATAAACTGTAATAGTACATAAGATCCTAGTGAGATAATGAACAATGTGAAATAGGAAGAAAAGGGCTAAAGGTGTAGGGGAAGTGGGAAGGGTGGGGGAAAAGTAATAAGGGAAAAGAAAAAAGTATGAGAAAATGAAAAAATGTGACTGGCAGTACAGTAGGTTTGTTTATGCCAGCATTGCCACAAACGTGAGTAACGCAGGCACGATGACCTTTCCATCGCTGTGATATCATCAGGAGACGGGAGCTTTTTAGCTTCCTTGTGGTCTTATGGAGTCACCATCATACAAGGGTAATTGAAAAACACAGTGAA